TTAGAAGGCCGTCCGCGACTCACCCGAACAGGCCCCATTATGACTTGGCACAGTTTTTTTCGACCCCGTTTTTTTACCGGCATCGGATAGAGCATGGTCAAATTAGTAGGGCTGCATAGTTTTGAAAGTTTAAAAAGTTTAATTTTGGGGTTTAAATGGGCGTTAAAGTTGCCGACCTCAAAAAACTATCTCGAAAAATACCCAACGAAATTTGCTAAAAATGTGTGACAATACTAATTTTCGGGTGGGGATCATTTCTCTAATACATTGTGAAGCATGAAAATGGCCGGAACGTGGTTAAATCAAATACTAAAAACAGTTTTTCGACATTTTCGACATTTTAGAGAAACCAGCGCATATTGGCTGTATCATAGGCAGACGCACCTAACGTTTCTGCATCGAATGGTGTATCGCTTGATATGCGCCGACTTCTCTAAAAATTAGTTTTAGTCACTTTTATGTGTGAAAATGGGGGTAAAATTGACCCCGAAAAAAGCAAATTTTTGATAACGGAAAATCTGAGATATAGAATTGCATCTAGAAACCGAGACGGGTCGATTGCAAAAAAGAGCAAAACGAAATTCGGCTCCTGAGAGGGGGCTGGGATTGAACTGGCGCCAGCTCTGGATTGGCACGCCGACGCTCTACTCATTGCGCCACAGGGCTCCCAGGCACAGGGTCCGGGTTCGGTTCCTCGACATCCAAAAAAGTGGAAATTCGTTTTGCTCTTTTTTGCAATCGACCCGTCTCGGTTTCTAGATGCAATTCTATATCTCAGATTTTCCGTTATCAAAAATTTGCTTTTTTCGGGGTCAATTTTACCCCCATTTTCACACATAAAAGTGACTAAAACTAATTTTTAGAGAAGTCGGCGCATATCAAGCGATACACCATTCGATGCAGAAACGTTAGGTGCGTCTGCCTATGATACAGCCAATATGCGCTGGTTTCTCTAAAATGTCGAAAATGTCGAAAAAACTGTTTTTAGTATTTGATTTAACCACGTTCCGGCCATTTTCATGCTTCACAATGTATTAGAGAAATGATCCCCACCCGAAAATTAGTATTGTCACACATTTTTAGCAAATTTCGTTGGGTATTTTTCGAGATAGTTTTTTGAGGTCGGCAACTTTAACGCCCATTTAAACCCCAAAATTAAACTTTTTAAACTTTCAAAACTATGCAGCCCTACTAATTTGACCATGCTCTATCCGATGCCGTCAAAAAAAACGGGGTCGAAAAAAAACTGTGCCAAGCCTTGTTCGGGTGGCTCGCAAACGGTCTTTTAGATACCCGCTCCTGCACCCAGAGAGTGCATCTTTTCCGAGTATGAATGGGTGAAAAATTTGGGAAGCTACGTCGGGCGACTGACGATAGTGTGAGAAATTTTGGGAATTTAATTTAAAAAACCATTTTAAAGCTGGTGGCTTGACCGCGGGTTCGAGATTACACTTGATTGGATGGAGGGGAACAAGCTGTTGCATTGCAAGTATTCAGCACCTGCGTTCCAGGCAACGCCACTGTATGTTGCGGTACGTCTTAGAAGTTCTTGAGGACCCTTAAACATTTTAAGCGCTTTAACAAAGTTCGGGAAATACAGAAAATTTATTCGATTTTAGTCCCCAACGGCTGCCACGATGTTTGTTAAGCACACAAGGGTTAAAGTGAGCGCTTTCCGCTATCTTTTCCTTGGTTTTGCAGCATCGTGACTTCCGATTTTTTTTGTAGAAGCTTTCACAAACCTTCCTGGCAACCCGAGGCGCAAAGACTCCGCCGCTCAACATGGAACAAATTCGGAAAGAGGTCAACCGGAGGATGAAAGAAGAAGTATCTAGTAGGTCATTCAAATAGCCTTTATGATTTTTCGTAGTTTTTAGAAAATATTTTTGAGTAATACCGGTTATAATGTAGTTGCTGCTTCGCCGGCTTTCCCCATCCGCGATCTCATTTCGACTGAGCATGACACCCGCGAGAACGGCACAATCGTCATCTGTCTATGGGATATCACCCCGATGGACGGGCGGCAAACGTAAAAAGCTATTTCTCTGTTAAGGTCGGCATATTTAGATTCTGGATCATCAACGATCGGCCACCATTCGACGAAAAACTCGACCGCGACTTCAACATTGGCATCGAGATCGACACTCTGGATGGAACGTTGTACTTGGGATATCGTAGCGATGTAATTGTTTGGTTTAGTCGTGTCCCTAGTACTCGTAATCGGGTTCTAACGTTAAAGGAACAGTGTGGCATTTTAGAACGTTGATCACCCAATGTTCACGCGTCGCCTGGAAGCGCAGCGGGACGGCACCTACGATCTCTGCTTCCATTTTGGCACTAGAATGTATGGGGTTGAAACGGAGAGACGTTTTTTGCACCAATGATTCTGCTTTTTTTCAGTTCTCTAGGGACCGGAACTGAAATGGGGAAAAATTGCGTCAAAGGTCACCATCATGACTAGGCTTAGGCTTCCAAAGGAAATGCAAATAGGCGTCCAAGCTTAGCAAAAATATGGGTCTGATAGGGTCGTCAGCGGCGACTTCCTTTTCGCTTGTTAGAGTTTAGGGGCTCGATTCTTTCTAAAACAAATGAAAGAATAACCTTTTCATTTTCTCATCAAGTTTGAAAATTCACAATTAAACAATTTATCTGGATCAAACACTGTGAATGATCATAAATTAAGCCTATATTCTTAGTTACAAAAAGTACCTCACCCATTGGCGGATGTTACGCTGGCTCGGCACCGGATTATTCCGGGAGGTACGTGTTTAAAAACTCCGTGAAGTTTCGATGCTTAGGAAGACCTCGTGAACATCCAAGGCAAAAGCATGCCACCGGAGAGCCTATCCGTTTGGGATTAATTTTCATACTTTTTGGTTAATTGTTTAGTTCCAAGGAAAATTCGGTAAGAGTGCTACCAAGGTTGCTGTGGGGTATGGCAAAAATTCTGGCTGGGTATAGTTAGTTGATATTTGCAAGCTTATGATACTTACAGTACCCGGACACGCCCACAAAGGACATTCTGAAGTGGTACGATTCGCCGGAGACCGAGTGGAGTCATCAGTTTGTCACTATATTCGAGGGGAATATTTTTTCAGAGATAAGTTTGCCGATTATCTGGAGAAGAGCCTGCGCGATTATATACATCGCTAAATTGCAACTCTCATTATGGGCTTGTGTATACACTGTTGTTGAAAATAAATCGTGGAAATGTCTTGTATCTTGTATGTTTTTTTTATGTTGTATCCGACCAAACATGTGTCGTCTACGATTCCCTGAAGCCCATTCCACAAGCTTTATTGCATAACCTCTATAATATTTGAAACGATTAAAACCGTCATCGACCGTAAACTATAATATAATCGCCCCCGATTTTTTCAATTTCATTTGCAATTCAAGCAGCCGGAACCTTTCGGCTAGGCATTCCAAAAGTTTTGAAACTCTATTGCGCGCTGATGTTGCGGTGGCTGGTACTTATTTTTTTCTGGAAGTCAGCGTCGTGCGGAACTGTGGAAGATGAGTGTAGGCTTGAATTCAATTAAATTAGGGAAAATATTGCTAGATTTCCATCGCAGGGCCCATCTGATGCAGGGTCCTTTCTTTCGAATCCCCGAGTCTAACCGCCGAAGCGATATCATCGAGTTTTTCTTCTTTACCCATCATGTTGAGTGAGTGGCATAAACATCTTAACTTCAAGCAAAGCTTGGAAAACTTTAAGTTGACCCGGGGTAGGCTTAGGCTTAAGCTAGAGTGTGGGCCTAAACTCTAGGTTGAGGCTTAGACTGGGCTTAGGACGAGCTCTCACCCATCGTTTTCCCTAGGGTCGAAATCGCGCTTCTCGAGAAGCCATGGAACCCTAGCTATTCCACTGATCCCGTTCCCATCTATATCCACACCAGTGGAAAAAGACCGCTTCGCGGCCATTTTCCACTGGACCCGGTCCCGGAACCATGAATTTGAATACCTTCATTTTTAAGCCTGCGGCGCAAGAGCCCGGGTCAAGGAGCTATTCCTTGGCCTGCGGCGCCGGAGCCAGCGTTGCGCTAGAATCTTTGAGCCTGCGGCGCTAGTTACTGGTTTTTCTCCAGGATCTGGCCTGCGGCGCGAGAGCCCAGGTCAAGAACCCATCCTTGGCCTGCGGCGCGAGAGCCTGGGCCAAGGACTTTTTCTTTGGACTGCGGCGCTAGAGCGAAGGCCAAGGTAGGACCTTTCCTTTGGCCTGCGGCGCTAGAAGCGAGAGCCAGGCCTAAACCTCGCACATCGAGGGCCTAGAAATATGTTTTGTTGCCGAACTACCAAAAAGCAAAAAATAAAAATCACCCAGGATCCGAACTCACGACCTTCCGCGTGGTAGGCCGAGCGCGAATCCATTACACCATAGGACAACTGGGTGGAAGCCGCCCGAAAGGCCTGTTCTCTCCTGGGTAGACGCGGGCAAAGATAAGAGTGGCCGGAGGGAGGCCATCTGGTCACTTTACAAAATTCGATTTTTTAGTCTGAATCTGTGGAAAGTTTGTAAAGATAATCAGATGCGCGTGATCCCCACCCTTGATTGCATAAACGGTCCAAGTTTCAGCCCGAAATCCCATCAGGGCTTCGAGTTATGGCCCGGACACCACGGCCCGAGACGCAATTTATTAAGGACTTATCAGAAAAATCTCTATAAAAACTTTATTTGAAAGAATTTTGGAAAATCCGAAAAAATGTATCTGGGGAATTACTTTTCCCATCTACCCTCCAAAAATGAGGGCCCAAGTCCCTCTAGGGGCTGAGAAAAGTTCCGGACAACGTGCGCACCCAAAAATGTTAAGGATTTTTCACATTTTTGCTTGTAAAAACGTTAAATCAAAGAATTTCGAAAAATCCAAAAAACCGTTTTTTATGAGTGATATTTCCCACCTCCATGCCAAAAATCAGCTCGAAACTCGGCCTGACGGCCGAGAAAACGGCCGTACAGAAAACACACATACTTTTCTCGCTTATAGGATAGGATCCGGAAGTCAGACATGTCGATCCGGCTGAGCCACCGCAACGAAATGAACGTAGGAATCTGAATAAGTCATTTAAGCGCCGAAAAACATCAAATTGGAAACAACCAAAGTTGCTTTTAGCAGCAGTTTAATTCCCTGGTTACACACAGAATCAATAGCTACCCGTACTTCAATGAATGTCATTGTTACGCCTTTAAATTGTCGATCGCGTGGGTGATTTGTTACTTTTATTAAAGGTCAAAATTCCCATGGGATCGAAGAAATTCAGAAATGACAAGGGTGTGTACACCGTGAGCGGAAGTATCCTCAACGCGCCGCTGAGTTACGCTAAGCAGGGACCCAGAGGCAGTAACTATTTCTTAGGCGTGAGTTTTTAAACGCCTTAAACATTGTCTCACCAGGAGAGCGCGCATAAACCCCGACTCAGAATTGCATGAAAATTTGCACGTAGATGGAATCGACCATGCTGATCATCACCGCGTTGTCCAAATTTGCTACTGATCTTTAAAAGTGGAGATATGCTACTTTTAAAGCCATCGTTTAGTTAAAACAAACTTCGAGCTCGATTATTTTGATCTTCCGGGCCAATTTTGTAAAAATAAATTTCGCCATCGTATTCAAAAACTTTTCTCTACTGAGTCAGCTTACTAACTCAAAATTTTCGAAAACCCGAAAAATTGGAAAAATTGACGACCAACTTCGATTTTTGTATGGGAAATAGTGAAAAACAGCCGACTTCAAACATTTGTAAGACGTCGTCTAGATGAAGCCTACCTTAATGAAATATACCCATTCAAATCAGAAAAAATTCTCTATCGGATAGCCTACTTCAAATAAATTAGAACTTCAAAATAAAAAAAACGGCATCATGGCAAAACACTTCTCGGGGGCGAAAAACGACACTAAAACTTCAATACCTCCAGTTTTAAAGATTAGTAGCAAATTTGGACAACGAGGCGATGATCAGCATCGTCCATTCTATGTGTGCGCCTATTTCAACCAATTCTGAGTTGATAATAATTCTGAATTCTTGAGAACCAAATTCGAGCTTCCCTAGTCAGGTTAATGAACTAAAGTCCATCTTTTGCCATATAAAATCTTGTGGTTTTTAGTTCAACCAAGAAGGAATTGCGGCTGCGTTTCACACGGCACCGGTAGCTTTATGGGTTCAAAGGTAATTCAGGACTTTCTTACAGAATAAACGCCGTGTCCCTTACATGATGACAAGAGGCGTTGAGACCCCAGTTGGACCCAGCGAATTCTATGCAAATTTTATCAACGACCGCCTGGAACCAAAACATAAGTGTTGGTTTTTACGCATAATTTCAGTATTTAAGAAGGCTACTTTCAACGCTTGTGGTTATATGCTATTGGTAATAGTAACTCTCATGACAATCCTTTTACGTTTAAAGCGATTTTTGAGCTACAATACGTTCTAAGTCAACTTCCCGCCCCATTTCTACATCAACCATCGCGTGGTTTTCAACACGGCCGAGAAAATTTACAATATGACATTTGCGGTCTGCGTGTGGAACGTAACCCCGCTGCCTGGACGTACAAGGTAGCGTTGCATACTAAAGGCGCACTTAAAAATCTAATTCTTCAGCTTCTGGATCGTCAACGACTCGCCTCCATTTGATGAAAAAATGGAACGAGACCACAATATCGCTTTTCATTTGGACCTGAAGCGCTGGACGGGGACGATGAGTCACCGGTTCGATGTAAGGCGCAGGCTTGAACTTATATTTGGACTTAAACTTAGGCTTAGTCTAAAGCTTAGGCTACCAAAAAATGGCTCCGTTTCAGAACCGGGACATCGATTTGGTGACCCGTTCATTGCCCGAAGCGCATGACGGGAAGCTGGAGGAGCTGTGCTTCAATTTCGGGATTCGAAGGTAAAAGCACTTCCCGACCCTAACCAGCGCATTTTTAGATTTACCGATGCCTTGTCCGCCTGGACGGCTGACGGTATTTTCAGCACGCCGGGGCACTATTACAAGTTGCGGGAACCGCGCCGGCCGGCACATTATCTTTCGGTAGGGTTGCAAACGAATGGATTTTAGGCTTAGGCCTCGGCCTTACAAAGGCTAAAACCTCTTCTAAGACAAAACCAACCCCTTTCCTAAGATTTTTGTCCAAGCTAAAAAGTCAAGCCTAACAAGGAGACGTTTTTTGGTGTGAATGGAGTTCTGAGTGGAAACCAGGCCTATTTTGTGCAGAATTTTGCGCTGATTCCGAATATGTTTTCCATTTCTGCTAAATAGCTCGATTTCAAAAGTTACAGCAATTTTAAGATCATTTTTAGGCCCAGAGTAGCCATATGCTATGCTGTGCTACTTTTTTGTTATAATGTTCTAATTTATTTTATGTAGCCTATCAACTATAATAATTTTCTTGACGCGTCCGTCCGTCCGTCTGTCGTGTCCCAGATTCAACTCGAAGGGGAAAGGAGCTAGAGCTTAGCTCTCTTCGGATTCGGATAGAGCGTGGTCAGAAACCCCCAAACTGATAAAAAAAATTATGAAAAACTTTTAGTTTAAATTATTAAAATTAACTTTGAAAGTTTTTTTCCTTAGTAAAAGGGTGGGGGACGGAGGTTGGGGTGATTTTGGACATAGTGAGCCAGGTCGCGCGCGTTTCGTGGATGAAAATTTTCACGAGGGATTTCATTTCTTTTTTCTCTCATTCCATCCGGTCGGTCGTTATTTTCGTTTTTTAAAAGGATTTCGGCTAGGGGAGGTATCTTAAGCCATCGGGAAGGTATTTAGGTAGTTTTTGAAGGGGATTTCGGCTATCGGGGGTATTGATGGAGGTGGGAAAGGATGTGGTGGAGTCGGACATGTAGGGTAGCCCGAAGGCCAGATGGTTGCAGTCGCGAAGCGACTGTAACCATCTGGTATTGTAGAGAATTTTTTTCTGATTCGAATGGTATATTTGATTAGTGCGCTACTGCTGACCGACGATGGCTTACAGGGGTGAGAAATAGGCAGTTTTTCACCATTTCCCATACAAAAATCGCAGTCGTCGATTTTTTCGATTTTCAACAATTTTTTGTTAAATAGCTCATTCGATAGAGAAAATTGTTTTGAATACGGTGACGATATTTATTTTTGGAAAAACAGCCGGGAAAAGCAACATAATGGTCCCTAAAGAGGGGAAAATTTGGGCTAAAATAATCTTAAATTGCTGTAACTTTTGAAATCGAGCTATTTAGCAGAAATGAAAAACATATTCGGAATCAGCGCAAAATTCGGCACAAAATAGGCCTGGTTTCCACTCAGAACTCCATTCACACCAAAAAACGTCTCCTTGTAAGCCTAACAAGGAGTCGCTTTTAGGTGCTTTTGGAGTTTCGGGACGGGACCTAGCTAGTTCGATAGAGAAAAAAATTCTGAACAACATACCATTTTCAAAAAGTGCTGATCGATAAAGGAATTCTAGAAAATTTAATTTAAAGTTCGCGCTTTTTTTCTAGTTTTCGGGTCCATTTCCTCGGTTCGCGTCGTTGTCGGGCCTAAGCCGGGCACCATTCATAACCCTCCGCCAAAGCGTCGATCACAGGTTGCATTGGCGTATTGGTAGCGAGCTTGCTTACCAACTTTTTAACATTTTTTTGCTTCGGGTTCGAATCTTCGCGCTGGCAAACCGTTTGCTTTTTGGTTCTTGAACCCGTTATCGGTGCATAAAATTTTAATTAACAAAAAAGCAAAGAGTTAACGATAAATAAGAATCGAACTTGTGGCAAAAGGTAAAAAAAAAACTTCGTAGGCCAACGCACTAGCCACTTGGCTATGCCTTGGACGGGATCCATGACGCGTAAAGTCCCCATGTGGCAGGGGCGTTTGACCGCCGTAAATCACCTCAAATCACCACAAGGGTGCCGATACCGGGAACATTTTTAATTAAATTCAATTTTCTAAAACACCTTTATCGATCAGCACTTTTTGAAAACGGGATGTTGCTCAGAATTTTTTTTCTCTATCGAACTAGCTAGGTCCCGTCCCGAAACTCCAAAAGCACCTAAAAGCGACTCCTTGTAAGCTGAAGCCCATCAGACCTAGGCAGACGCT